GCCTGGCAAAACCATTGCACAGTTTCCTAAGGATGCTTGTTTAGACAGCACACCAAAGCATGGTTTGTCACTAACCCTGACCCTATGTGAAAGAGCCGTGTGCACCATCCTCCCCCTTGTGTGTCCCAAGCCTTTCACTTAGATTCAGGTTTGCGTGCAAAACAGGCAGAAGTTTTGTGTATACATGATCAAAATGAAACAGTAAACTGTGGTTTGCTGACAACCTCGAACTAAGAGAAGGAATTAGTGCTCAGTTCTTCCATATAGCAGCACACCATAGTCTCCAATCACGTCTGTGTGCTAATGGGAATAATCCTTCAGCAGAAGCTTTGAAGTAGTTTATTCCATTGGTAGATTAATCCACAGAAGTTCTAGCTGATTATTTGACTGGAGAGGATCTTAATCTTTAGGGCTGAAGTTGAACAGGATTGTTCTGTGTGATTTTATTACAGTGGGAGCATGCCAGTGCCAAGGTGACCTATTTCCAGGAACCAGTGGCTCTGGATTTACAAGTTTGCCTCCAGCTTCTAGCAGTGGAATGCTGCAGGCAACCTGAATATCCTGAAATGGTGGAGATAAGGAGAAGGTGGCTTATGTTTGTTAATACCCCTCTCCACACTGCCTTTTTAAGGAGGAGTGGAAGGCTTTGACACTGCAGGGGTCGTGCAGATATTCTGTGGCCTTCAGGAAACCCGAATGAAGTACTTCGGTGTGGCATCAGAGGGCACTTAAAGGGCTGCCCGATTTATTGTGGATGAGTTCACATAGGTGGAAGCCCACTTTGACCTGTCTCTGGTGATGCAAATCCTGATGATTTCCATATAACCCAGACATGAAGGCAGATCTTCGTTTGGTTTAGCAACAGGCTTTTTGTTGAGCTTTGGATCTGGGAAAATCTGGTGTGGATCAGTCAGGTGAACAAAATCTGAGCCATTTTGAAAGGAAGGCTTTTGGCTTCCTTTGTTGGTGGCATGCAGTTAACTTCTTGGACGGCTTCAGGCGTCCCACGGCCCAGCCGTCGCTCTCAGCTGGGCACTGTGCAGGGTGCACTTTTGACTTGGAACAGCAAGCGCATTCCTGCCATTCTCTGGCATGTCAGGCAAAAGCAAAACACAGCATTAGGGCCTTAGACTGGCTCTGTTCCTGGCGGGTAATCTCATTTGGCTCAGCGACGCCCCGCCATTCCTTGTCATGGCCCCATTTCCACCGAGACGGAGGTCTCGCCTGAGTTTTGCCAGCAGCGATTCAGGCAGTGTGAATGAACTCAGTGTGCCCATATCCCGCACAACATGGAAGCATGCCAAAAAGCGAGCGTTCCCCCTGGCCCTACGAGATATACTTTGGATGTAGCCTGCATAGAACACCTGATTCAGTTCCGTGCCTGGTAAACCGCCTTAATTCCTTCGAAGGGAGCCCAGGCAATAGCAGTTCTGTGAGGCCACCGGGGCTTCTCTGTTCAATTGTGTTCTTCAAGCTTTCATTGCATGACAAGATTTAGGTAAAGTCTGATCGCAAGTTTGCAGCTTTCTTTTGGTGCGCAGTGGGAGAGGGCAGCACAGCTCCTGTGTGCAGCCGGTCACCCCTTCTGCCATCTTACAGCAATCCCAGAGTTGCCTTTTCTCCTTTGCGTGATGATGAGGGCAGGGATGGAGGTTTACATTTCTCTGAGACACAAAACCTCTCCTGCATGGCTATACCACTCGAAGCTGCTTACGTCAGACCCAGGCATTATGGCCCGGAGTCAGGGATGCTGGAGCTTGCTGTCTGAACATTTGGGAGACATCAAGTTGGAGAATACTGGTGTATGTAATGGAATGACACTGGAGACATTCCAGGTGAAACTGGACAGCCCTCTGAGTGGGATGGTGTAACGTGGTGTCCTGCAACAGCAGGGGTTAAAACTGATGGCCTTCATGGCCCCTTCCAACTCTTCTATGATTCTATGAATGCTTCTCAATAAAAATAGCAGCAGCAGCAACAATTAATAATAATAATAATAATAATAATAATAATAATAATAATAATAGCAGAATGCCCTCCACACAGGAAAAGAGAACCCCTCTTTCTTTTGGACATGCTTTTGTGGGCAAGGATTTTTTAAATTACTTGATTATTTTTTGGTCCCATGAACCTGCTCTTTGGAAAAATCTCACCTAAACACTGATTTACCACCCTCTGCATGTTTGAACAGAAAAGGGTCTTCCAGCTCCCAGCATTTTCAGCCTGCCTTGCTGCGGTATGCGTAGTATCACTCCCTGTCTCCGTTCTTCCTCACATTTTGCTCCCTTGGAGCTGTGATTGCTGCTCTCTGGGAGGAGTGGAGTAGTCAGGCGTGTGGCGGGGTCTGTAGCCACCTGTCTCGGACTTCCTGCCCAGCTCCGCTCTTCCGCTCTGGATTGAGGCAGAGGTGGGGCGAGCACTGCTGCCCTGACCAAGGGAGAGAGACTTCCAGTAGACTCTGATGTGCTTCATGGATGGATCTTGCTTCCCTTGGCCTGCATGTTGGCCCCTGGACCACCTGTGGACCTTCCTGGCGCTGCCATGGGCTGCTGCTCTCCTTGCATCTTCCCTGGCCATCGTCCCAGGCGCTCATCAAAGGTTCATTGCTCAATGAGAGCCTCATCTTGAAGCACCCCTCGCCCCATCCTCCCCATCCCTGTCTCGGGCCAGCTGAGTTCTGGAATTGCTCCTGCCAAGAGGCGAAACTGCTGCAGTTCAAGGGCAAATGCAGCTCAGCAGGGCCTTCTGGCAGGAGCGGCAGCAAGCTGGGGACCACCGATCAGGAGCCTTCTTGGTCCAAGGGAGAAGCGAGTGAGCAGGGCCGGGCACGCTCGCTTTGCAAATAGCTGTTTCCAGCCCGAGCCTCTTGAAGGGGTGGAGGATGCAGGCTGGTTCCACGCTATCTGCCTCCAGTGGTGGCACCTTCCGTGTGTTTGGGCCATTGGATCTGTCATCCCCATCCAGCAGGGACAGGGATGACGGGAGCTGTAGTCGAAAGCATCTGGCATACCCCATGGGGGCGAAAAGCCATCACCCTGACTTCCCATGTCTTTGTAACAGCTAGCTTCCACACATACGCTTCCCTCCTCTTCATGATTGCGCTTCAGAGTAGTGCAGCTCCTGGTATTTGTAGGCTGTCTCTCATCCCAGGCTCTATAAATTGCTTCAAGGACCACACTGGGTGTGCTCCAGTCATGTATAAGGCAGGGGAAGGGAGATTTAAGACTCTCAGACATAGATCATTTAGATAAGCGTTCTTTTCTGCCTGATTGCCAGTCGTGTAGAATGATTTAAAGAACAAGAATTAAAGCAGAACAGAATAAGGCGAACTGTGCAAACATGAAATCAAGGGCCAGAAAGCTGGCTTAAATTAATGGTGTAAAAACACCGCACATCAAAAGTGGCAGAAGCAGTTTTGAAAGCACCCTAGAAATCAGGTCCTCCGAGCTCTGCAAACGTGCATGGAGAGTGTTCGTCAGACATGTGTGGGAGCAAGAGGTGGTCAGGCAGGGCTGACCACCTCCAGGGGCAGGCAGGGATGCCGCCGTTGAATGTTCTGCCATGTGAACCAACGAATGCCTGTGTGCTTATCAAAACTAGGACACTGGGAAGAGAGATGCGAGCCCAGCTCTTTGCACGCTGTACGGGCACTTTGCTTGCAGGGAGCTCTGAACAGAAGGGGGCATTCATACATGCGGTCTGAACCGGCGCCATCCATTGTTCTCTTCTGTGCGTAGTGCAGGGCTCCCTCTTCTACCTTGGCCGTCCACAGCGAGCATCTTTCTGTGAGCTGAGCTGCAGGAACTGCCTCGTGTTTCTCTCTCTTGCTTCCGCTTTCAGCCTCTCCTCCTGCATGCCAGAGAGCTCGGCTTCCATATTTGGAGCTCGTAGCCTGTCGACTGGCTTCACATCTGCCTGGTGGAGCATTTGGGTGTTTTTGCTTTTCCATATATGGGAAAGCTGCAGGCGGAGGGTGGTATCTGGCCTGCATTGGAAGCAATGCGCTGCATTTTTCACGATGGGCTAGTTAGCTTAAAGGCAACCCCCTTCTTTGCTGGTTTCCTACTGACAGAAGCAATCGAGGGAAGTCGGTGCTTTCTCTGAGTTTTGTATCTGCTTGTATTAACCCTTCTCTGCATATTTCTTCATATTACAAAGGCAACCTGGTGGGAAAACATAAATGCAGAACTTTTCTGTCACCAAGCTAATGTTTCACATCATGTCAGTAATGAAGTCTGTCTTTTGGAGAGGGTCTGTGGAAGCATGCATGTTGGCAGGCACAAACGGACAATAGGTCATTGGTTCAGGTGAACAGAGGCAACTGGGGGTTGCCAACACCCGTAGAACAGGACTGGGCTCACTTGTGCTTGAACAGGACAATCTGGGCCAAGCTTACACAAATCCGGCACGTGGAAGATGGGCTTGGAGCAACACGTTCCAAGCAAATGTGCTCCCATCCCCCTTATGAGCAAGACAGCCACGTGATCCAAGGAGGTGGATGAGTTAGTCATGTGAATTTTAGCTGATGAATCAATTAAAATCGGTGTATATTTGCACATCACTTCCCCCCAAAGCATCCTTTGTTTATTCTTGGATGATGTGGGAACACTTTGCCACAGGCATCATTTTAGGAGAGACATTCCCTCAAGGCAAATCATGGGTTGTTTGGGGGTGGCCCAACCTGCAGACAAGCCTTAGGTTTGTCCAACGCTTGAACCACCTCCGTCCCCTGCCTTCATATGGTACAAGTCAGGGCAAGCCAGGTACCAGCCAGCATCCTGTAAAAAAGCCTCTAGATAAATCAAGCCATGGTGGACTGTCACATTATGGAAATCAGGCCAGTGTGTGCGCTACACACCCACAATTGCGCCTGCTCTAAATGTGCAAGCCACGCACTAAACTGCGCGTGGTCTTAATTAGAACCTGTGCGTTACAGTGCGTTTCTGCCACTGTCCAGTAACCCTTCGTATTGCTGACTGGGCTTCTCTTCCTTTTCCCAGATTAAAAAGCAGCAGCAAGATGTACTCGGTTTCTTAGAAGCCAACAAGATTGAATTTGAAGAGAAGGACATTGCTGCCAATGAAGAGAACCGCAAGTGGATGCGAGAGAATGTCCCGGAAGAATGCCGACCAGCCACTGGCAATCCGTTGCCCCCTCGGATCTTCAATGGCAGCCGATACCTGGGGGTGAGAGTTGAGACTTAATTATCTGGCTTGTGAAGCAGTCCACTGAGAGGTCTGTCGTGCAAGATCTGAAATCAGCTTTGAGTTCTCCCCACCCCTTTCAAGTTGACTCCCCATTTGCAGGGGTTGAAGGGTGAAAATAGACATGGGACAAAATAGTCTCACATCAGCTGGAGCCGGCCCATTCTCATCCTCGAGAGAGAGCAGAGCAGGGGTGGATGAAACATCTTTGTGCTTCTCCCATACATGTCAGGGCAAAGATCTTGTTCCTTTGTGCGCCATTTTTTTGATACAAAGAGCTTTTTTTTTTAATCGGTGCATCGGCTCATAATATTCTCTTTCCTTTATCCTCCTTGTAGTTCAAATGTTTAACACAGGACACTTCACAGGAGGAGCTCAGTAAGAAGCAGAATTGCAGCTTTTAAATTTACATTGTGATTCATCCTTTCAAAGCAGTTTAAGGCGGCCGTCCTATGCCCACCTTCCCGGGAGTTCAGGACCATTTACTTCTGGGGGTTAACTTCACTGGTCTGGGGGCCTCTGACCCAGTAGCTCTGACCCAGGTCTCTTCGGCACCTTCAGGCACCTGAGAAAGGCACCTTTGCTTTGAAAGGCTTTGCAATTTTCACTTTCAATCATGCAAAGCTGCCTTGTACCAGGTACAATGGCAGGTAAGGACCCTGCGACCTCCTGGGATGTTGAGGAACTTGAACTCCCATCAGCCCCGACCAGCATGACCAGTGGTCATGGAGGGCCACACGTTCCCCTTCAGAATATTGCTTTATGTGCTTGCTTCTTCCCTGCTTTTTCCTTCGTTGGTTTGGATCTTTCTGGGTGCCTTTTCTGCTTGTAATAGAAGTCCTCTGGCTTCTCAGCAGGGGGAATGCTTGGCTCTTAACAGCTGCTTCCAAGCTATCTTGGCCTCACTGCAAGCTGTGCAAGAGAGCTTTCTGTTCTTTCATGCATCGTCCGTGAATCTTCTCATCAAGAAATCTTTGCTAAAAGCCCACGCTAATTATCTCGCCATGGACAAGGGAAGAAAAATGCAGATGTTCTTGGACAATTTTGGAGCATTTCCTGATGACTCTGTAAATCAGCACTTCTCAGTTACAGTTGTAAAAATTTCTGGCTTCCATTGTCTGTATTTTGACAACATGCCGGCCAGTCAGAATCATCTTGATTTGATGCAACAATACAATATATCAAATGGCACAAGGCAAATGTGCAGTGTGTATCTAACAAAAGCAGGGTGTGTGAATGGGGTTGTTTATTTTCAATCCATCTTTTCCCTCCAGGGTGTCATTATATGTATAGAGAACCAGCTGCCATTCTTAAAAACAAACAAACAAACCCCTTCACCCAAGTATATTATGTTTGCATAAGTAGCATGCAAACTTGAACTGCCCAGAGGCATTGGAATCAACCACCCTGGAGTGCTGAAATACACCGAGTTCCTGCTTCATGGGTTGGTTAGCTTACATTTGATGATCGAAACCCAGATTTGATCTATTTCTTTATTTGCGGTATTTCTATGCTGCTTCTTATCTAAGCAAATTCTGGCACAGTGAGCAGAAAAAAAGCAGGGGGAAAAAATAAACCCAATATATTAACCCAAGGATAACAAGAGATCCATGGCTGTTCGGAGAGGAAGGTGTCTTGGCACAAAGGTGTCTTTGGCAGGTGCCATAAAAAGTGCAGTGCCAGAGTGTGGCTGACCTCCTGAGGCAGGGGCTTCCATCAGAATGGAGCCGCCACAGTGAAGCCCCTGTTTCCGGTGGACTCCGCAGAGGCGCATGGGACCGTGGCCTCAGCAACTGGGCAGGTTGGTGAGGGAGAAGGCGCTTGCTCTAGCGTCCCTTTCCCAAGTTATTCAGGGACCTCTACATTACTGCCAGAACCTGGTAACCAGCATTCCGTATATATTATCCTAAATAAATGGGGCTTATTTTTTGAAAGAGTGCTGATTTCTAAAGTCAAAAGAGTGACGTGAGAGTATGTTACAGAAAAAGATGCAGCTGCTCATGGCTCGCAAGCCAGAAGCAGCATGCAATGCAGGATGGCAGCTTGTCCCAGCTTTTCTGTATCTCAAGACCAGGCAAGGTAGAGAGTACCCTCTGATGTTTTGGACCACCCTTTGCAGGATCCAGGACTTTTCGCTGTCCTGCCTACAAGCATTGTACCCCAAACAACTGGGGGGCATTGAGTTGCCTGCCACTTAGGCTCAGTAGTCAGATGATAACAGTGGCTAGCCAGCCAGTCCCTGACGGGCCTTCACAGGAAGAAGAAAAAAACGTAAAGATGCTTGTGTTGCCATTGCCATGGTTACGGAAACCTCCCATCTTGCCACTGTGTTTTTTAATGTCAGAAACATTGGATCCCACACACTGTTTGGGAGCCAGTTGGTTTCCAGTCATTAGTTTATCTCTAAACCAAGCTTTTTCTTCCATTCAATCTGGGAAGAAAAGCTCTCTGTGTTCTTTTTTCTTTCAATGCTTGTCCTTCTTCATGAGTTCATAGGTAGCCTTCCAAAAATGCAGTTTAGCAACAATAAATAAAATAGAATAGAATAGAACAGAACAGAATAAAACATTCTCTCTCTCTCTCCTCCTGTCCCCCATTTAAAGGATTATGAAGCCTTTTTTCAAGCCCGAGAGAATAACACGATGTATGCTTTTCTAGGCCTGACTGCCCCACCTGGTTCAAAGGTATGTATTGCTCTCATTTCTTCTTAATGTATGCTCTTGTCAGCTGGTTGTTTATTTCTTAAAACTTTTCCATTTTCAAAATGTGAAAACAGACTAAGTCCACCAATTCAAATGCTTGGGAAAACCAGCAGTTATTCTGAGCTGGAACCAACAGGAAGTCAGTACTGATCACACCTCCATGGGGAGGGGATTCCAGCCCCATGGATGCTTCCTCACTTGTTATATAAAGCATTTGAAAGAGTCTCTTCCCAGTGATCCAAAAGCATGGCTACCGTAGGCAGACTGAAATGGCGGAACACCATTGAGTGGAAAAGCATATTGCCACATTGCGAGCACGATCTGAGTGAAATGGAGCCGGCTGGAGCCGGGGGTCAGACTAGATGGTCTGGGAAGCCCCTTCTGACTTGCTCTCTTTCTATGTTTCTAGCAGGGATCCCCACCTGTGTTGCACAGTGTGAGCCCATTTGGAGCGTGGAAAGAAGTGGTACAGTTCCCCCCTTGGCTGCTGTGGGGAATGGGCTTGTCCATTCATCATATACCCCCATGGTTGGCCAGGCACATCCCCCAACAGGCAAAATAATGAGGCTAAAAGAACCTCAGTAGAGGAGAGTACCCAGGGAGCCGTGCAGGCAGCAGAAGTGGAGACTTGAGCTGCAAAACACTAGACTTTTGGAGCTGCCCTTCAGGAAGGGGAGAGGTGCCGGATTCTCCCCCACACCACGCTTTTGAAAGCCCGAAATCCAACTCTTGACTCCAACCTGGTCCGTTCTGGGTGAAGCACACCGACTGCTTTCACTGATGGGCCAGCAAAAGACACGAGGCGGGATCCACGTTACCAAAGCTGGGGATAAATTTAGGTATTACAATACATTTTAAAAAGCCAGTTGAAATACCAAATCCAGCAGCATCCCTTATTGTTGAAGGGGGTGAACTTTCAGAGAATAAAGTCTGCGCTGAAGTTCCAGAGCCTGGCATTGAGTTAATGAAGTTGCACTGCATTTCCCTAACCCTCAAGGCCTGTGGGTGTTAAACCCAAAATCAGAAGGAATTCTGCCATGTTAGAATCTGGTTTTGTTTTATGCTCCAGCTCCACCGCAATATTTTTCTTTCGTGTCCAGCTGCAGCAGCCATCAAAACAAACAGGCATGTTCAAGTTGTCCGTGTTTTGCTTTATTAAAACAACAGACCAAAAACCTCAGAGCTAATGGTTTTATTCATTTATGTTATTGATGTTCCAGGAAGCAGAAGCGCTAGCAAAGCAAGAAGTGTGAAAATCCTCCAGCTTAAAGCCTTACCAAGTCTGCAAAGGGAAATTTCCACAGCTTTTTATACAATAACAGAATTGTCTTATGCTTCAAGAAACACAGTATTGTTGTTTTTCCTAAACTGCACAGAGTATTCCACCAGACATGAGTATAGGATGGAGTGTCAAGAGAAAACACAATCTTCCCACAAGGACAAAGAACGTAATTGCATGGAGCATTTTGAAATTGTCGTATTTTTCCTCTCCCACCAGATGGTATAATCTACTTTTTGGCAGTTGCATAGTTTTTTGTAAACTTACAAAAGCAACGTATTTTGCTATTAATATTGTTGATATATAGTTACAAAGATTCAGCCATTTAAAAAGGGGGTAACACCACAGCAAAAAATGTTATTGAAAACCCCAGTGCCTCAAATACATTACTGAAAATAACAAAATACCATGATGATATCTTTTTAAAATTGTGATTTTTTTCTGCAAAAAGTGCCGTGATGTAGCGTAATTGTAATCGCTTGTGATTAGGATAGTGCTTTTTCATTTGTAGGGTGGGTATTGTAATGGTCTACTGTAATTTTGTAGCAAGTGGCATACAAAATCACGCCATAAGATTCTCATGGATGTAACCAATATGACCTCTTGTAACTGCTTCTCAGGGACCAAAAATACCCACATGTACAAGGTTTTAGTGCAGTCGTGTTGATGCATACATTAATAACCACAGAGAAGCCAAGAGAGCCCATTGTGGTCCTTATTTCTGCAAAATTTGAAGGTTTTTTGTTGTGTTTGCAAAAATAAAAATTCTATTCCATTGCGTATGTTTTAGACCTTAGAAAGCAAGGCCAAGTAATTGCTGGCTGGAAGAACAGGCATTCTGAAGAATTAAGATTATAAGACTCGATAGGAAGCAGGGACCCCACTGTAGATTTCTCAGCATAGGCTTGTTGGCCTGGAAGCTTTCAGCAGCTCGCAGATCTTGCAAGAAGACTGTGTGGTCAATTTCATCACATGCCCTGCGGCTCTCTTTGTGTGCCACAAGCAAGAGCCTCACCCAAAAGGCAGGTACTCAAAGGGGCTTAATCAAGAAGTTACCTTGAAAAGTGTGGCCTCTAAATTAACCCTTCCCAGCCTGGTGCCTTCCAGATGTGTGAGACTGCATCTCTTAAAACGCATGCTCTGAGTTGCAGCCCAAAGCATCTGAAAGGATTTGTTAGGCTGGTGGAAACTATTTGGGAAGGTATGTAGACAGACTCCAAGGGTTGCTTCCCTACTGTATAATGTCTTAGCCTGCTGGCCACATCTTCTCTCCTGCTGTATATTGAAAAAAATGGGATCTCTAAACCATCAGTTTTACTCACAATAGACTAATTGGTGCTTGCCACTAGCCGCCCCCTCCTTTAAAATTAAGAAAAAAATGTGCAGGACACCTTCCAGAACACAAAAACTCCAAAGAATCCTTCGGCCTAAGATTTGCAGCCATCTGAGCATTGCTTTCATTCAGTTGCCAAATGTGAGAAATTCAGTAGCTGTACTTCAAAGGTGCTGAAAAGAAAATGGAGCTGAAAGAGATGCAGCTATTTCATGATAGGTAAACCTAACACCGCAAAGGGGAAGCACGACTAAACTCTTGTTGATTTCAGTGGGTCTGCTCGAAGCATGACTAAATTTGGATCTAGTTCATGGCTGTGAGGGGAGTGTCATTCACACACTTCCCAGCTTCACTTGTGATTATTTACAGTAGAGGAAATTAGGAAATCAATGAGACACTCCATGCGCAAGGAGGAAGGAAGTGTACGCAGGTTGCTGATCCTCTAAAGACATGGTTTAAGCCTTGCATGCGCTAGAAGATCAGGGTCTAGGCAGGAACCATTTTAACCACTGAAACAGAAAGGAAGGTGCTCTTTGCAATCCATACAACTGGCCTGTATCCACGAGGACTTGTTTTACACGTGATGTTTGCCCACCTATGCCCAGAGCTGCTCAGGATTGCACAAGACTGTGTGAATCGTTCCTTTTTCCTCCAGCACACTCTTGTCTTGCAGCACTCCAGCTCTGGCTACCTTTCTGGGGAAATGGTGTTAAGGGCCTGGTCAGCATCTTCCTACATGGAGGACATGAGATCAGAATGTGGCCTAATTAGTGGTCCGTGTACCAAGCTTGCACGGAGGTGCCTTTAAGTTCCACGCATGCAGTTTAAGAATTTAGACACTTGATTTGCATGCTTCAGAGCTTGAATCCATCATGTTTCAGATGCTTGTACAAGGAACATGCAGAAACCCCCCGTTCAAAAGGCCTGCCGTGTCTATTTCAGGGCATGTATGGATCTTAGATGAGTCCAGCTTGGGGAGAAGCAGGTCTTCTGTCTTTGAATCCCCCTGCTTCTCTGGCTGATTTGCAGAAGACACTGATGGGGACAGGCACGGTGTATGATGAGAATTCTTGAGTTCTGCTACCACCCTGACCCCCCCCCCCCCCCCCCAGGCAATGGGCTTCTCCCAAATATGAGTTGCGGAGGGAATAGTTGTTCCTTCCCAAGGTGTCATCATCTGGCAGGCAGTGCAAAGATGCACATTTCAGGAAGCAAGCTCGGCTGTTCCTGGAAAAGCAGCCTAGAAGGACTTTCCTATTTCCCCCTTTTTCTTCCCATTATCTCATCTCTTGCATTGTCCTGACTCAGTAGACGGCTGTGATGCAACGGGGCTGTCTGGGCTTTGCAAAGAGCTATGTTTTGCATGTGTTTTAAGTGGCATGGAAGTTTTTCCATGCAATATTCCCCAAAATGCAACATTTTCTGATGCTATATTTTTCCCTGGAAAGGTTTCCACACCATATCTGTCAGTGTCCATGCATAACTGGGCCGTTGTGCTGCAGTCAGTCATGTTAGATGGGCTAAATATAGGATATCAACTTGTATATATCGTCCTTTTAAGGCAAGTAAAGGTGAACCCTAGTGCTCAGTGGCCCTTGGAGCAGATGAAAGAATCAAGGATAACGAGGCTTTTGGCACATGGGTCTGGACCAGACTTGGGCATGGCGCGCTTGCCCTCTGTTGCTTCTGTTCTTCAGTTAGAAACTCAAGGAAAACTAAAACGGAAATTAAGATGGCATGAATTGTGTTAAGAATTGACGCTTTTGAATTGTGGCGTTGGAGAAGGCCCCTGAGAGTCCCTTGGACTGCAAAAAGTTCAAATCAGTCAATCCTAAAGGAAATCAACCCTGACTGTTCTTTAGGAGGGTAGGTACCAAAGCTTAAACTCAAATACTTTGGCCACCTAATGAGAAGGAAGGACTCATTGGAGAAGAACCTGATGCTGGGAACAATTGATGGCAAAAGGAGAAGGGGACGGCAGAGAATGAGATGGTTAGATAGTGCCACTGATGCAATGAACTTGAATTTGGGCAACTCCAGGAAACTGGAGAACAGAGGGCCTGGAGTGCTGTAATCCATGGAGTCATGAAAAGTCGGACACAGCTGTGCAACTGAACAACAAAGATTGTGCTGCTGTTGGTTTCACTTAGGAGGCATGTGGGATGAGGACAAGGGTCCACTTAGTCTAGCAGGCTCATTCAATCATGCAGGTACCAACAAGTACCTACCTGCAGGTACAGTTCTAGGTACATTGTACAGGTACACTATCCCAGCCTGCACCTGCAGGCCCACTCCCTTCCTTTCACAAAACAGTGTTTAAGAAGCACTTCTGTGTTCGGGTTTTCTCTACTAGAAGTGGAATCTGTCAGCAGTGCAGAGAGAATGAAGCCAAAGGGGCGAGGGTGTCCTCTGCAGAAGAAAACTAAGCAATTGATAGGAGATTCAGAGGCTCTGTTTGGGTGTCTACTCTAAAAAGAAGGTTTCTTTCGGGAGGCATCATTTTTGTTAAAACAAACCTAAGGAAAAATATGCTATTGCCTTTACATTTTTGCAAATATTTCAATAAAGTAATTTCCACGTAAAGCTTGGGTATGTTTGAATATAACATTTAAGACATTTTGTGTTTAATTTCCCCTGAGCAAATGTTTCACGTATTTTGTAGCTATAGGGAAAGCTTGATATATTTATACTGCACATAAAACTGACATGGATTATATATCTTAGTTCTGCTTCCTACGTATGAAATGTGCTGTGTGCCTATTGAGGGAGAATGTGTGTTGGGAAGTGGACATGAGTATAAATCAGACAACACCATTTGGAACTTAGAAAACTTTCTGGAAAAGGTTGTGGTTTTACTTCTGCTAAAAAGCTCCATCACTGGTCAAGCTCTCGTTACAAAGTGTGGGGAGTGCATTTCCAACAGGACTGAGGCATTCTTCTGAGAACTGCACATCAGGCTAAGCAGGGCTGATTTTCAGTGTATTTGCAAAATATTGAGACTTTCCCAGTGCGATAAAGCAATGGATTGATCTATCATGGCTAAATTTACCATCTCGGGATGTTGAAATGGCAAGTGGACTTGCATTATTGGAATTATTGACACAGGAACTGGGGAACTGCAATTATTGACACAGGGAAATCAGTTGGGAATTCTTGTTGTTCTTGCTAAGTGGAATCCCAGGTCCATCCACCTGAGGAAGGAGCTTTTCTTAGCTTGGTGAAAGCTTGCAGGTTTGAGTCGCAGGTAAAGATAGATTGATAAATTGATTGATAACTTTTTTAGACTGTCCCTTACAGAAGTGTCAGGATGGTTTAACAGTAGACAAAAGTAAAATAAAACACAACATCCTGATCCATTTCTGATATTAAAACCCATATTAAAATAACAGTCAAACCTTAAAATATTGGGAAAATAAAAAGGTTTTAGCCAGGCGCCCAAAAGAATAAAGTGACGGCACCAGGCGAACCTCCCTGGGGAGTGTGTTCCACAATCAGGGTGCCACCACAGAGAAGGCCCTCCTCCGGGTAGTCACCCTCCTAATCTTCAAGGAGGGCTCCCAGAGAAGGACCTCTGACCCAGATCGTAAGGGGTGGGCAGGCACACAAGGAAGGAGACGCTCCTTCAGGTAACCAGATTTGAACACCTGCAATAGCTGACATGAATTCAGAAGGTGTAGAGTAGCCCTATTGTTTTTAATGCTTTAAATGATGCTCTAAAAGTGGCTCTTCTTTAATGATGATGTTGCTTTTCTTGTTTCTGACATGCTGTACTTTGTTGTGGAAGCTTGAGCAGAAAGGCAGTATTAAAGATGCCATAAATAAAGAAACTGCCTTTTGGCTGTAGAAGGTGATGGTGGATGACAGATAAAAGATGTTCCGGCTGCAGAAACATCTGCTTATCTGGATTAACTTTGAAAGAATAGCAGGCTGTGCCTGCAGAAGGCCTTTTTATTTTTTTAATGGGGACTTTGGCATGAAGCGATGTGCAAAGACCCTTTGCGAAAGAGTGGAAATTGCTGCAGGAACCTGCATCAGAAGCCTGAAAAAGCATTTGCAAGTGCTACTGCAAATGGGAAACCGCTCTTCTCGACTGCTGTGCGTAAGCAGCGTGTTATCTTTTTCTGATCTGAACAGGACTGTGAAACAGTCTGGCCAAGTCTGTCAGTGGTGTTGCTATGCCCAGACTGGACTCGTGTTGGCCCAGTCCGTGGGACGTGGCACAAGCATCATCTTCGTTGCTTCACAATCCCTGGTTTGCTGGGATTCGTTCTTTCTCGTGATGGAGATTTGGGGGTCATTATAGCTCTGGGTGTTTTGGCAGGTCTGGGTGTTACTCCTCCAAATAGCTTTTATGAAGATTTAAGAGACACTGAAGGGAATTCAGCCTGCAGGTGAGACCTTTTGAAGTTCTGCATTTGATGATCGGTGCTCATGAACGCTTTTGCCAAAATAAATGTGTTCACTTTCATAGTTTGTGGGTTTTGCCACAAACTAGTTCCTTGTACTTACTTTTTCAATGTCAGTGTGGTCTCCTCTGAACGTTATCATCTGAAAATTAGCTTTGGTTAGGAGGAAATGGGACAACCCACAGGATTTGGACCGCAATACTTTTTCCACCTACCTTGAGGTAAGTCACAAGGACCTCAACAAGATTTTAAAATAGCTACAAACCTGGACTTAGATTTTCACATGAGCCAGGTTCCTCCTTTCTAGCTCCTTTCAGCTTCAGATTGAGTTCACAATCCCAGGAGGACCATTGATGCTTTTGCTCATATTCGGGTGACCAGCTTAAATATCTGCTTCTAGATGAGCAGGATGCCTAAAGCAGAGCCTAAATGCCCCACATAGTGAGATACTAGGTTAACACCTCAAAATAATCCTGCTGTGCCAATTCCAAATGAAATCCTATGCAAATATTTTAGGCTACTGATGTGGCCCAGTAGACATGGCCCATGGTACTTCACAGTAGGCTCAAAACCTCAAAATCATAAAACCGTACAATAGTAGAGTTGGAAGGGGCCAGAAGGCCATCAGGTCCAACCCCCTGCTCAGTGCAGGACACGGAATCCAACCATCCCACGCAGATGGCTGACCACAAACGCATCCAGGTTTCAATGTGCCATTATCTCCAGCAGCCTGCAGCTTCTTCTGCATCAGAAGATACTGTAATTCTTTCCATTAAGACTTTTTCAAACTGGGTGGAAAGCAACCTTGGAAGCTGCAGAGCAGTGGAGAAAGAAAGTGCCCAAACAGTGCCCAGAGCCAGTTGTATTGATTTCGTAAATGTGAAACAGCATGAAAGGGCTGTTAAGGGGGTAAAAAGCACCCTCGGAATGAGGTCGCTTTCCATCTTTCCTGGGAAGATCTCTCAGGAAAGGGGAGAGCAGATTTTGGCTCGGCGCAAGTGCCACTTCTTCTCTGGTACCCGGACATCAAATTGCATCAAATTGTGATGGTGGAAGGCAGGTGGGGCCAGCCTGACAATACATTGGATGCTGTTTCTACTTGCAAAAGCAAGAACCATTATGAAAAAAGCTGAAGCCGAGCCACAAGCCTTTTCTGAAGGCTTCTGAAGGCCCGCCCTGCAAGAGACTGCCGAGCATTTCCCGCCCCTGGAAGTCTTTGGTGAAATCCCCTCCCATCCATTGCTGCCCACAAATCATGTGCAGAATTCGGGGAGGCGGTCTAGAAATTATCCAGAGTTTGGTGGGTAGGGGAAAAGAGGGTGAGGTGGGGGCAAGTGAGGTGGACACAGCCCTGGGGCTGCTGGAGAGCCTGGCCGGGTCTCATAGGCTGAGCTTCTGCATTGCTGAATTAGGGCCACCTTTTCAGTGCATGAAAGGGTTAGCAGAGCTCCTTCGCAGTGTGGATCCCCCCACCTCGCCCCCCGCCCCCCCAGGGCCGCTGCCACAGCAAGCTATCTATAGATCTCAGCACTGCTTGAGCCCGTTGACCTTAAAATGTACTTGTTCACTTTCGTTATTGAATTGCTCTTCCTGTTTCCAGTGCAATTTCCCCAGCAGCACCAGGCTCTTGGAAGATGCAAATTCTGGTTGGCTCATTGCACAATATGCTGAAGTCACATCCTCTTTTGCATTTGCTCTTACTGGAGGACGGACTATATTTTACTCAACTTCCATAGCGAGTGGATTAAAACATAGAGTATACGTCTGGCTGAACTCAGAAGTTATAGACTCAGGACGCCCTGCTTCTGTTTTGCTGTTGATCACAGAGCATGTAACTCCAACCTACGTGAAAAGGTACGTCATGGGCTTTTCCCCCACTTTCATTCCAAAAACCCTGAAGGTAACTTTTACTGTACTTTCAGTCCCCCACCCCATGAATTCATATTTATCCTAATGTATGTTGCCCTGAGATGTCACTTAAGAGTGAATGCAGGTTTGCTGGGCGGTGTGCAGTCAAACGAACAAGTGGGGACATTCAGACATACAGGAAATACCTGCAGCATGCGGGTGGATGGAGTCTCAACAGACAAAGTTCTGGGGAGGCTGGAGAAGCACATAGGCCATTTGGTAGAGGTGCATGAGAGTGAAAACAAAAAGTGGTGAATGGATTAAGACAAGCGGAAGAACTTTCAGGACAGGCATCCATCAGGGGTAGGTGAGGAGCAAGACTCACAACATGGTTTCCTGATCAGATGATTATCCCACCTGAAGTCTAAAGCTGTCCTTTCAGGGTCAGGCAGAGTTTTCCCTCATGTGTCCTGACAGTGTTCATTGGATCACACTTCTAGTAAATATGTTTTGGACTGGATGCTTAAATAAATGTGTTCCTGAGACTTAAGCTGCACTGAAGGTCTCTGAAAAGAAAGGGTTTGGCAAGAGAAGAGGAACCAGCCAATGGAGCATCTTGGGTCCTACTTTAAGAGAAATGTCTTCCCTTTGAACAGCTCCCCAATCTTACTCTTGTTTAAAGCAAGATTAAAAAAAGAAAAGAATGTTGCACAAGACCTTGAACTTAGCCCACTGATATTTGGTGTCTCAAACAAGCTGCCTTATGGTGAGATGAATCCCCTTTCTATTAAAATTGTGCTAATTACTGCCAAATGGTTGTCTATGCAATTTGATGCAAAGGATAAACAATAAACGGAAAAAGGGGGCAGATGTGCATCTGTATGATGCATTACCTCTTTTTCAACTTTTAGACTTTTTCAGCTTTTAGATTTTTACCTAAGTCTAATCCAGAGAAATCCATCTGTTAGGAAAAAAGCCTCCTTTGCAGTCAAAGAACTTGCAAGTTGGTCAGTAGAATAATATTGATTTAATAATGAGAACCTGAATGGCTTTGCAGGTAGAATATTTGTCTATGATGTGAGAAATTTGTGTTTGAGTCCAGGTATGGATGCTTGGGGTGTATTGACCATCACCCAATTTCCACAGCTGATTTTTCTATTAGAATAAATGGCCTGTCTTGCTTGTTATGAGAATGAACAAGAGAGCAGGTATCCATGCCAAATTATGCAAAGAAACCCTGAGAATGACAAACATGGTGAAAACTAGACCGGCCTTCCCCTTCCTGTTGTCCTTCAGTCTGTACCGTTCCCAGCTAGCATGACCATTGGGAGTTGCAATCCAGTCCAAGAGAAGGGCCTCTCCCGCAGATCTCAAGGGGTGGCCGGGCATATATGGATGCAAGCGCTCCTTCAGGTAACCAGGACCCAAGACGTTTAGGGCTTTATAGATCATCACCAACACCTTGAATTGGGCCTGGACTTATTATTATTTATTATTTATTTATTAAAACATTTTTATGCCGCCCCATTCGCCGAAGCCTCGGGGCGGCTTACAACAATAAATTAATATAAACATTAAAAATCCAAAAAATACAATATAAAATAAGCCGCCCTGGCCAGATAAAATCAGTTAATACTAACAGTTAAAGTACCGCTTAAATAAAAAGGTTTTCGCCTGGCGCCGAAAAGCAAATAACGACGGTGCCAGGCGGACCTCTCTGGGAAGCGTGTTCCATAAGTTGGGCGCCACCGCAGAGAAAGCCCTCCTCCAAGTAGCCACC